TGCTCTCTCTATGGCGACCGACCATGGCGGTCAGCCATTTACCCCTGTTCCTCTTCTTAGTCCTCCCACTCTGCCGGCCCTTATAATAAACTTATAGTCTTATGTCTCATGTCTCAGCATTTCTCTTTTCTTCTTTTTAAACAAAAGAATAACAAGGTGGGCATTTAGAAGTCTGGAAATGCTTAAGACCACTAAAGGAAGCTGGACACCAGAGAACATACACTAGTAAGAAAGAGAAAGCAAGCGTCCTCTCTCTAGTTATGTAAAAATTTGCCTCTACCAGACAATCTCAGCAGTGGTTCCTACTGCTACCTTATACCACAATCTCTTCCCCTGCCAAAAAAGGTTTCCTTTGGCTAAACCCATACAGACTGGGTGTCTATTTCATGAATGCAAATTAGACAATAAAATTATGCTTTCTTTCCAAGTGTTCTTGATAACTGGAAGCCCCCCAGAGAAATAACATAAATTTTAAGTTGGTTTCTTAAATTTTGGTAGAAAGTAGACTATTTGAGACTGTTCATCAGTACTTTCTGGTGACTAACTGAACAATCTCCAGAAAACTAGTAACATAGAGCATAATTTATAATATGGACATTAAACCAATATAGAAACATCTGCTTTTGATAACAACAATCAAAATCCAAAAGTTAAATAATTGCTTTTATAGTCACAGAAAACACAGACACACTGCTATCCTACCTTGTTATTGGTATAATGTAAAACATTCTAATTCTGGATGTAATGCCCAGGAAGGAATATACATTTGGTAAAAACTTATAAAAAACAAAAACAAAAAACTTTATTTAAGCAAATTTAAGCAATATTTAAGCAAAACACATAAAAACAAAAATCTAACCTTATGCCTTACCTTGTCAATTTTATCATTAAAAGTTGTTGTTTTTAACTTTTTCCAGCAGTTCATGTGAAATTCTACCTTACAATATTGGCAACAGCTAATTCGTATAAAACCCTGGGATTAAAAAAACAAACCAATAGACACGTGTTTAAAATATGTCTATACCAATATATTTATAATAGCATACATTGCAATAACTAGAGATCTTACACTCACTGAAAGGTTCAGGCATTATGCTGGCCTGCCCTGTTATCTGGCAGGCAGTATCCTGGTCAGCCCAGGGTTCCATGGGAACTAAGTCTGCACACAGGTGCAGAGGACGACTTTAGAAGACAGACCCCAGCCCGTTTATGCTCTCTCTACACTCTTTACTCTCTTCTCTATCTGCCCCCCCCCTCTCTCTGGCAACCGGCCATGGCGGTCAGCCATTACCCCTGTTCCTCTTCTCTCTTAGTCTCCCTACTCTGCCAGGCCTATAATAAACTAGTTAATATGTCTAACTGTGGGGGACCAAAATCTTTCCGTTACGGAATATTTTGAGATCCGGCCTTTGGTTTCACTAAACATGGAGCACGGGAAAGCTCCGGCCCACTACTGTATTATTAATGCCAGTAAGGATACTACTGTTTACCATGGCCGCAGGGTAATATGCCTCTTATTTGCATCTGTATGTGCCTAAGCATCTGAATAGGCCCTCACCTGGGTGGAGGAGAGAGAGGTGTGAGTAACTTGTGAGGACAGAAGGTTAGGAGTTAAGGGGTGAGCAGCCAGAGCAGAGAGGGACAAAGGATGATTCCCTCGTGGTATTGGAAGGATGGTTAAGAAACACCAGAAAAGATGGCTAATAAAGAAACGACTCTAGTTCTACAACATGAAACTGAGAGCTGCTCTCTGAAGATGACAAGATGCCTGTATTTGATCTTTATTGCCGTTGGGTTGCTGGGAGCTTCCAGGTCCACACCCCCCCACTCAGGCCGAACCTCAGGGCTGTCGTGGGTTAAAGCTGAGACAAGCCGGGTCACAACATCTAACAAGTCTCATCCGCCTCTTTTCTTCTCTCACCATGTAACTAGGCCTAGTATTTTCTTATGGAGTGATACACTTGTGCTTCCCCCAGACGCCTAGCTACAGCCCTAGAGAACTTGACATCTTCAGTTTTACAGCAAGTGTTGAATAAACATCACATCTCTGACCTACTAACTAGAGGCAGCAGGACAGTGGGCAGGCACTACCTCTGTAAGTAAACCAATAATTTAATCATTTAGTTAGGTGAGAGATTTGTCCTAAATTAGGTCTCCAAGGGTCAATTCAGATTTCAATGGCCTTTAAATTCTCATATTCAAATTTTACATATATTAAAATGCAACAAGTCAGAGGAAGCAACCATTTTACTTCCCAAGTTTCAGAGGCTAGAAGAGAAAATGGAGCCAGTGAGCCCGATTTCTCAGGTCACCACCTCAACCCACACCATTTACTTTGGTTACTCTGGGTTTCCATGTTATATAACAAAGACATAAAGAAGTCTAAAGAAATGGGAAGAAAGGGGACATAAAAATGCTATCAAGCCAGAGAACCTGGGATCCTCCACTCATAGAATCCATTCTGAATTAATTCTGAGACGTTTTTGCAAAAACAGTAAATCCATTATGTACCTTAAAGTCCGGATCAGTTAGGTAAATCTGAATTTTGGAATATCCACGACATTTCTGATAGCAACAAACAGCATCTGGCACTGGGGGAAACTTGCATTCTTCAACAAACTTCTCCAGCATCGTCTAAAACAAAATGTAAGAAAAACGATAAGCAGTTGATAATTATCAACACACATGCTAGTGATTTCAAAAACCCTGCCATCAAATATGTTCCCCTAAGAACAAACTATAAATGCTGAGGGTTTTTTTCTTAAAAGAAAGTCAAAACAGGTTTGGGGAAAAAAACTTATCTTAGAATTTCCGTCAGCATCTAAATTTTATACTGCTGTAACTATGAAACCTCAGTTCACAACTCACAGTACTGAGAAATGTTGTCCAAGGACTCAAGGAAGCGAGAGTGACCCTTAACCTCGTGCTCATCACTTGAAACCCCCTAACTCCATCTTCCTCGTGTGTGAAATAGAAAGGGTCATGACCCCCCATTACAGGACTGCTTTAAGGAAAACTAACCATAAACAGAAGGTGTAAGACTGGCATACAGAAACAACCTGCATTCAGAGGTGTGGACTGAGCACAGCTACTTATGTCCTCTACATAGATGGGCTCTCCCAGCCAGAGTGAAATGCTCGAACAAATACAGTTACCTTGATTTTCTCTGGCTTGGATTCTTCAATAATCACATTACTTGTGGGCCAAGTCAGAATTCCGGGGAGACGATAAACCAAGGTCTTTGCCTTTTCAAAGTGATTAAGAGCTTCAAGAAATCTAATGCCACAATTGGGGAGAAAGAAAATATCAGAGATCTGACATAACATTTTACCCCACAGTAAAGTTCATCAAGACCTCAAACCTACTAGAAAGACCACATATGATAAATCAATAGACATAAATATTCAATGTAATATATTTTCTTGTTAGAAACTAAGACATTGAATCCCAGCACTAAGGAGGCAGAGGCAGGTGGATCTCTGTGAGTTCAAGGTCAGCCTGGTCTACAGAGTGAGTTTCAGGACAGCCAGGGCTGTTCCAGAGAAACCCCGTCTTGAACAAACAAACCCCCAACAACAAAACAAACAAACAAACCTAAGACACAGTTGTTACTTCCTGTTGCAGTAATGTAAAGGAAGCTCCTCTCTGTCCTAGAATCCCCTACACAGCTGATCTCAGCCAGACAATAACTAGAAACTAAAAGGCCTTTTTGTTTTGTCTGAAAAAAATATCCAAGGAAACTGTGGGCACATGCTAGGATAGAGAGCTCAAGAACATCACAAAACTTCCTCTAAAAGTAAAAGGTTTAAGGCTAATTACGCATTATGAATGATATCCAGTTATCAAGAGTTGCTTTTATTTCTATAAAATAACCTAATATAGGGCTGGAGAGATGGCTCAGAGGTTAAGAGCACTGACTGCTCTTCCAGAGGTCCTGAGTTCAGTTCCCAGCAACCACATGGTGGCTCACAACCATCCGTAATGAAATCTGGCGCCCTCTTCTGGTGTGCAGATGTACATGGAAGCAGAATGTTGTATACATAATAAATAAATAAAATCTTTAAAAAAAATAAAATAAAATAACCTAATATATCCACCACTCTGATTGCAAGGGTCCAAACACACTGGCCTTCAATTCTAAGGCATTATCTTGTTCTCTCAGGGCTACAGTCAACTTAGAGAGACAAGACTGAAAGATAGCAAACAAACTCAAGAGCAAGCATTCCAGCTAGAGACAGTTAGAGAACAGCTCTTGTGCTTAACTGTAGTCTCTGAACACACTCCTCCACTTACTCCCTCTATGGTTTAGACTGCCAGCCTCTTCAGTAAATCACCACTGTGACAGCAAATCCACCCAGAATCTGGGTAAACACCAAGCCAAGTGTGTGCCGCACTATCACTGAGGGGATGTGAATGAAAGTGGCCCCCACAGATCACAGAGCGTGGCAACACTGGAAGGTGTTGCCTTGTTGGAGTGGTTGTGAAGTTTCGGGAGGGGGAGGGGGAGGGGGGCTCTGAGGTCTCAGATGCTCAAGTTCTCTTCCTGCTGCCTGCAGGTCCAGAGGCAGAGCTCTCTGTTCCCTCTCTAGCACCCTGTCGGCCTGCGTGCCACCATGTTTCCTGCCATGACGTTAATGGACTAAACCCCTCAACTACATAAGCCAGCCCCAATTAAATGTTTTACTTTGTAAGAGTTGCCGTGTCTATACATAACAAGTTGCTTGGGTATGAAAGTATGTGGGTTCTTGGGATAATTTGTTTTTCACCTGTAATATGGAAAATATTTAATTATGTGAGGGACATGGAAAACATGCTGTATTTTTTACTATTTGCTTCGTACTCATTGTAATCATTCACTTGAAAAACAGAGTGCAACCACATTGTAATTTTTATATTGCCTTAAAGGTTTTGATGGGTATATAAGGAAAAGAATAAAGGGAGAGATAAAATGGGCTAGAAGGAAAAACGTCAAGAATGAGAGAAGGAAATCACCAGGAAAATAAAGAATAGAGAATCCAAAAGAAGAAAGAAAAAGCCTGAAAGACTCCATCAAGAGAGTGTGTGTCTTTTTCCCTAACCCTCAGATAGAAGAGTCATAGGTACGTGTCAATTCTATGGCTTTCCTATGAGCCACGCACTGCTGGTGGTCGCCCCCCCAACCCTCCCCACAGCAGCTAATCTTAATGTGAACATAGAAGAAGACACCATCGTCAAATCCCTGGCCAACGTGGACGCACACATATGCTCACCTAAAACACACACAACCCCCCATCCCTTCTATAAAATGAATTAATCATCACAGAGATCATCAACCTGTAGCCCACCGTGGTTTCTACTAACCTGTTTTTCTTCAAATATACTTTTCCTATTCCACAGTAGGCCAAGCAGTCAAGCCCCTCATTGGGATAGTGTTCAATAATCCTTTTAAACTGGTTTTCAGCTTCAGACAGTTCCTTGAAAAGCAGGGAGAACAGTTACTTATGTGAGAGAAATGTGTAAAGATACTGTCTCAAAGCTGATGCTTGTCTCATGCTTAAACAAAACAAAACAAACAACAAAAAACCACCTGTGTCAAAAAGCAGCTATTGCAAAATTTTACCTTTTATATTTCATTTTCTTGTAAATTATGTTTCTTATAAATTTCTGATTAATGTGACACCCATGGAAATTCAGACAACATCAAAACTAATCCTGCTGAAAACGGACTGACAACCAAAAAAACATTTACTCAAATGCCAGGCCTGCTGTCAATACAAACAGGTATGAATTAGTGGTTTAAAACCGACTGGCTTGGGCACAGACACTCCACAGCGCATATGGTAGCCTGCACTCCTCCCTAGAAGACTTGCTGTTCCCGGGACATTGCCACGATGCTTTATAGAATGAGAAAAGCACCTGTGTTAAACACTACCCCATGGTAAAAAACTTAACAGAACCTGGAGTACATATTAGCATCCTCAACAAGGGGAATCTCCACTTTAGATACTAAAGTTTGTTTTTGGAAAAACAAAAAACAGAAAAAACCCTGTGGTTGACGTAACAGTAACCGTATTGTGAGTGAAGAGAAATGGGGGACAACCGGGCTTCTAAGCTGCTTGGAGTCCCATTCCTCCAAGAAGGCACAAAGCAAAGCTGCACACAGGCTTCCTGAGGAGCTAGCGATTCTGGGAAGGGCTGTAAGGAGTCAAGGGGCAAGTGTGTATGTGTAATAAATACAATCAAAGTGCATACCTGAAAATTCTAAAGAATTAAAATTATTACACTTAATTTTTTTGAAAAGAAAAAAGAGGACTACTAGTCTGGTCAGATTTTTTGAATGTGTAATTTGTACTAACACAGATGCCATAAAACTATTTCTTCAATTTTGATAAAGCAAAACATGATCATCTACATTGATATAGTCAAAAATACAAAGTCTTATCTCCAATTATCTATTAAAAAGTGCAATCAGACAGGCATTAATGGAAGACAGTCCAGATGTCAGTCTCATTGTGAACAGGAAAAAGACCCCAGGCACCATGAACCCTGGCAAGTGAATCCTACATTTTTATTTTAGTTATGTGGTAATCTAAGCTTGCGTGTAACTAGGGAAGCTTAGAGCCCAGGTTGGCAGAAAGGGCATACTACATGGGCATGTTATATTTGAGGTCACTCTTAGGGACGTGTCCTATTTACAGCCTGCAGGGCCACATGCAAACAAGGACAGCTATAAATACAGTCAGAACAAAATTATAAAGTTACCAACACATTTTTTTCCTCAACACATTTTTTAAAACTCTATTTCTTGTTGCAATGTCAAAAAAGTAGAACACATCTGTAAGCATTCCAGCATTCAGAGAAGAGTAGACTCTAAAACCAAATACCATTCTAAGCAAGCATCCCAGGAACTCGAAGAAGGCATTCCAGCCATGTGATCCCAGGGAGTCACACCCAAACCTTGTGTGCAGCTTTGGGAAGCAGTCAGTATTCACCCACTCTCCACCCAGACCTAAGCACCACTGGCAAAATCGTTCTCACTTCTGACTTTCTAATAAGACATCACACTGCAACACTAACACGTCCTTTGTAACCTCCCGAGACACATCCCACCTTCTGTCACTATACACAGTAGTACTTGGTGTGATCTGAAGATGGCCTGGAGCCTTTTACTATTACAGACAGCATTCTAAGATAGCTGTACTGCCGTTTACAAAACTATACATAACAACGGAGTCACAATGATGCCCTTCCCTTGACTTTATACTTCTGAAATCGACCTATCCTGATACGATGAAACTTTACTTTTATGTACACAGAATAGACTCCTAGCAATGGCCAAGTATAGCCTTTTCCCACTAAAATATAAATAGAATTTTCTCTTCTTTTTTGGAGACCAGGTCTTGGTCCACAGAGTTCTCAAACTTATGCCTCTCTGGGTTTTTGTCCCCAGTACTGAGATTATAGGCATGAATCACAACCCCCTGCCAAACTTTCCTCTGAATCAAATCACCCACCAGTTCACACTGCATTCAGAAGTGGGAAGGAAGAGGGTGGCAAGTCTGAAGCCAAACTAGCAGAGACCAAGACCCTGTCTAGTGCCTGACCCCAAAACACTAGGTGATACTTAGCCGTTCCAATTGTTCAAGAAAGAAATGAGACAAATAGGAAAACAATTTTTAAATATCTTCCACAATTAATGTCATATTTCAGTTGTTTATCTGTTAAAAGCTTACCTCGGGTCTTCCTATTCCAAGAAGAGAAATAGCAAGTCCATAGACTACTAATACATAATTAATCATGGCCAGGTTCAATTGCTGTCAATAAAAACGCATTGGTTAGTAACCCGAACATAATCCTGTCCACTCTACATTAGAGTAACTTTCTAGTTACAACAGGAACATGACATCATACTGACAGAAGAAATAAATCAGAAATACATTTTGCAAAAGCAGCTGTTCCACAGTGTATGGCTATTTGTCAGACGGACTCAGTGTCTCCGCACATCATGAGTTCACAATGGATTGGAAAAGCTTGCATTCTTTTGCATGTAACGGGGCCTAGAGACAGACTGAGGTGTCGCCCTAACACCTTGTTTAAGAATAAAAGGAATCCATATCCGGGGCTTCTAGTAGACCTGAACAATGGTAAGGAGGGAGCACTCACATGGCCCACACTAGCTGGGAACACGACCTGCTACCACACCGGGAACAGTCCCGACGTCACAGGTCTATCTAGGGTACATTATAGGAGGAGGAATTCCCTGACCTCACAGATCTATCTAGAGTACATTATAGGAGGAATTCCCTGATCTCACAGGTATATCTAGGGGACATTATAGGAGGAGGAATTCCCTGACCTCACAGGTCTATCTAGGGTACATTATAGGAGGAGGAATTCCCTGACCTCACAGGTCCATCTCGAGTACATTATAGGAGGAGTCCTGACCTCACAGGTCTATCTAGGATACATTATAGGAGGAGGAATTCCCTGACCTCACAGGTCTATCTAGATTACATTATAGGAAGGAGTCCTGACCTCACAGGTCTATCTAGAGTATATTACAGGAGGAGGAATTCCCTGATCTCATAGGTCTATCTAGGATACATTATAGGAGGAGGAATTCCCTGACCTCACAGGTCTATCTAGATTACATTATAGGAAGGAGTCCTGACCTCACAGGTCTATCTAGGGGACATTATAGGAGGAGGAATTCCCTGACCTCATTCGTCTTGGGTATGTTACAGAAGCTAAAGCCAGGTCCTCTTCTAAGCCCATCTGAGCTGCATCACTATAGCTAATGCAGCTGCAGTTCCATCAAACTTACCCTTATTTTCTGAGGATCTAAACCATTTAGTAACTCTGTAAAGGCCTGAGCCGCGCTTCGGCAACGCTGCTCTAACAAGGCTGTGTAGCCATCCTGAATTAAGCTTCTCAACATTTTCATGATGTTAGCAAAATCCTGGAAAAAAAAAAAATCAGTAGTCCCAATCTATCACTTGCTGGTTTAAAATTTAAGACAGTAAGTTGATCGGTAATAAGAAAAATTTTCAATGGATTAATTACATTATTTATTTTGTGTGGGTGAGAGCACCTGCCAATATACCACATGGAAGTCAGAGGACAATCTGCAGGAGCCAGTTCTCTATCCACTGAGCTATCCCACTGGTGTGATCAGTGACATTTTATAAATGATAGGCAAACCTAGCCTGCTCCTTATTAAGAAATCCCTTTCTCAGCAATACACTTTTAAAAGGCTCCGTGTCAACACATTCAACCCGTGTCATTGTCCAAGAAAGAGTGGCTCATTTTAGCAGATCTTATTTATTTTTCCAGATCCAGCACAGTATTTTGAGGTTTTTAACAATTTCCACAGGTGAGTTTTGTAGCTGGGACTAAAAAAATTAGGGCACACTAGAACAGGCAATCTATGTACTGATCACTCTTAGATTTTTACCAACTGTCAGCCTGCCCGGAAACAAAACCTTAATTGTAATCAAACGGTAGCTATTTCAAGTTTTAGCTCCAGCCATGTTCAACATTTACTTAAATATGCATATCAGTAAGGTAAACTCATGGAAAGACAAAGAAAAAACTAACATTAGAGGTATCAGTAAAAAACTTTTATGCCTTTTAATCTGATGATATATGTATATAACTTATCAATGAAATGCATGTTATAACTGCATGGAAATGGGTATAAGTTACAAAGTTCCACAGAGTGGAGGGGTAAGACCACAGTAAGCCACACATGTATAAACCAGTCAGTGGCAGAGAAAAGACAAATTCCTAGTGTGCAATGTCACAAAGATCCCACTGGGGACGGCTGGGTGACACAAGAGCAAAAGCTGCATGATGATTTCTACCAGAAAAACTAAGTATGAGAGAATCTCCTCTCAAAACACACAAGGAAAAGAGTGGTCTTGGTATAAACTTGGTGTTTGTTAGAGTATTTAAGACGCCATGTAAAACTGTATTTACTTTTAAGATATGAACTTAACAGTATGGAATACGATGTTCTCCCAAAATATCCGTTACTGACTTTATAGGAATTGACCCAATTTTAACTGCTTTGTTACTTGAGAAAACAGATCAACAGAGCAAGACAGTTTTATTCCAAATGAGTGTCCTCGATATACCCCACCTTGGGTTCCCCTGGACTGGACACCCCCAATGAACAGGCTGAACCTCTTACCACAAATCCAGTTTTCTCACCATAGGAAAGGGCTCTAATATAAGCAAGTCTGCTTCAAGTCCTCCATGTTTTCTAGACTTAGTAAAATCAATTAACACATAACTAAAATCTGTTAGACGTTCTAAACAATTAGAAATCTGTTGCAGTCATGTAAGATTTGTTATGCAGATCTAAAATAACAGAATTTTTAACTGACCCTCATATTTATAAAAATTATCCTCAGCCATGTCAATATGCCATTTTCATCACTATGTAACATAACAAAGTTTACTTTGTTTATATATGACATTTATCAGACTCATGTTACATCATTCAAAAGAAAAGCTGGCATTAATGATTTTACAAGGCAAAATGGGACAGCAAGCAATTAAATCTCACTAAATACTTAACTATTTGAAGCTAGCATTATTATTAAATCTCAGGGAAACAATAAATAAATAAATAAATAAATAAATAAATAAGAAAATAAAAAGAAGTTAGGCCTTCTCCATTACCTGGTGTGCAGCTCTGGAAGATTTTGAAAACTGTTTCTCCAAAATGTTTTTCAAATCTACTGGTAAAGTCACTTGTGCATTGGAACTGAAGGAGGAAAAGCAGCACACACTGTAAAACAGTGCCAAACAAAGCGGTTCTACTTACATACAGAAAAAGTGTGTTGCGTAAGAAGAAAGTATGTTTACGACACTTACTTCAAATACTGAGTAAACAGATAATGACCGAGGTTGGTGAACAGAAATGCTACCAACATGCTGACTCCGCCCCGAATTATAACTGTAAAACCAATGTGGTCGCCATTAAAATCCCTATAAAATTAGAGAAAAAACAAACCTGGGCTTTTCTGATTCATTGTTTCGTGATTTTTGTTTTCCTTTATGTTTTGGAGGCTGACCTGCAAACATAAAAGTATTTGTTCCTGAAACCTGTACATAAGACCTCCAAGACTAGGAGTAAAAAATAAAAGTGCATGTTAACTGGACTGCAAAGAAACAAAACAAAACAAAAACCAAAAACAAAAACAAAAAATAAGTAAACTTGAAAAAGAAAGTCAAAGAAGCAACTGTGTCTGTGAATGCAACTTCAAATAACTCAAGACAAGCTTGTGATGGTGCTGGGCTATTAGAATACATTAAAGTTGTGACAGTTGTCTGGGCCTGGGCAGACAGACCCGGGCAATAGTTCCTGCTCTCAGGGAGTTTACAAGTAGACTGGAAGAAACACAAGTCACCTTAGTAACAAACCATTACTCCCCCCACCCCTCAAAAGAAGACACTAAGTTGCCATTGATACATTGATTCCATAGTCAGTAATTTCTCTCTAATTCACAGAAAAGAGGATAATCACTTTAGCTGGAGTATTCTGGAAAAGCTGTTTGGTTTTGAATAATAAGCAGGATATGGAGAAACTACTCAACCCAGGAGTGGCACTCATTTCAGAAACACTATGTAATATATTTTCCAAAGGGCTCCTTGAGGGTGGAAGGGCAAAAATGGGTACAAAGGCAGACACAGGGGACAAGTTACAGACCTTCACTGCAGACCGCCCAGTCTCTTTAGGAGTCCCTCACAGCGGTGTCACAGTTAGCGTGGTAAGGGGGACAGGGTGTGTGTGACAGAAGGCTGGGGAGACAGGGACAGACAGGGCAGACACACAGAACAGAGCTCTGATGTCCTCAAACACAAACGCTTCAGGAAAGCCCAGTTCTGGTCTGACTTTTTAAATGCGCAGATTTGCTTTGATTTTATGTGGATGGTGTTCTGCCTGTAATTGCACAGCAAGTGCCTGCGGCCAGTGGCAGTCAGAAGAGTGGTTGCAGCTCCCAGAGGTGGAGTTAGCCAATGGTCTCCACCTCCACGGGGTGCTGGGAACTTGATTTCAGCTGTGTGGGCATGAACAAAGCTATGAAACTAATTCTGGGGCCTCGAGTTCTTTTTTTGAACATAAACGCTGGTGGATGGACAGGATGAAAATTATTTACATGTGCTACCTGATAATAACGTCTTAAAAACTTTTGAAGTATTATCCTCACATGCTATTAGGTTACATTCGGTAACAAAACAGCCTGAATTTCCAACAGTCTGAGTTGAACATGTTAACCACATGGAAACTCCTGGCACTAAGTGGTCAAATATGTGGGAATGCAGAGAAGACACAACTGAGGGCAGAAAAGACAGAAATGGCAAACCACTGAAAAGGAAAACCAACAAGCAAGGGAAAGGGAAGAGAGTGACGCGGTGTCACTACCGCAAGGCCAACATTCTCGTCTCTACAACCCCGGAAGGACCACTAGGAATGAAAGCATTAGGTAAGTAACTGTTGTCTGAAACAGCCTTCAACCAAGAAAATCTGTATTGCCTCAGACCCAGCTATAAAAGCCAGAGATGTATACAAACCCACTGTGGGAAGATTTGCACCCAAATACAATACAGGAGGAGATCCCCAAGTACATGGCGCATGCATAGGCACATCTCATCCAAAGAAAAGCACACGCAGTTACAGCACGCAGCCAAACTAAGCCATGTTCTCCAAACATGAAAATGCCCAGCTCTGTGCGAGTCGAGTGTTGAAAACTTCATGTTAGAATGTAGAACCCTCAAGGGAGTGACCAGATCACAGGGACTTTACATCGTTCTACAAGGCCCTGGATAGACGCCTCACCCTTCCAGCAAGTGTGCAGACAAGAACACAGCCACCTATGAACCATGAGAAAAGCTTCATTAGACACTGACTCTCAACCCACAGAAATAAACTACCCAAGTTTGTGGAATTTTTGTTGTATTATTCCAAATGGAAAAACATCTTTTCTCAACAGGGTAAACTCATCCCTAAACAGGGTCAAAAATTAGACGTTCTGCTCCAAGGACAACAGTACTTTTTATATAGAAAAGTCAGATCCAAGCTGGGTGGCGGTGGTGTACCCTTTAATTCCAGCACTCAGGAGGCAGAGGCAGGCCATCTCTCTGAGTTCCAGAACAGACTGGTGTACACAGAAAGGTCTAGGGCAGCCTGGGCTATAAAGAAACCCCATCTGTCTTGAAAAAAAAAAAAGACAGATGCAACCCCGGTATGGTGCACTCCTGTAATCCTAGCATGTAAAAGGGTGGCGCCAACCTTGGCTACAGACTGAGACCCTGTCTCAAAAATTAAAAGCAATTCCTGTGGTGTTAAATTTTATAAGGGAGGCCAATTAAGGAACAAATACTCACAAAGGAGCCCTGTTGTTAGAGAAGAGTGAAGACTCTCAATAGTGAGAAACAATGGGGAGACAAGGAAGGGCAATGTTTTATCTTTATATTACTTTTATTGGATTTACAAAATTAAACTCATAAAAAATATGAAAAGCCAGAATTCATTTGAAATAAATATCCAAGGACCTCTTTCATTTGTTAGTGTGTTCGTGTCCCTGTGTGTGGAGGTCAGCATCCAATTCCGGGTGTCTTCCTCAATCATGCGCCAGCATTTCCCAAGCCAGGGTCTTTCCCTGAACCTGGGCCTTACAGATGCAGCTCACCTGGCTAGGCAGGGATCTGAAGAATCTTCCTGTCTCCACCTCCCAGGGGTACCACACCATAGGCATGAGCTACTACTCCTTGCTCTTAGACAGACGTTGGGGGTCAAACTCAGGTCCCTATGCGGATGCAACAATCACCTTACCAACTGTGATAGCTGACCTCGGTTGTCAGTCTGACTGGATCTGGAATCAACTGACAGACAAGGTATCTGGTCTACCTGTAACAGCATTCTTGATCAGTGAGAAGACCCACCATAAATGTGGGTAGCACCTTCCGGAGGCAGCCAGAAAAAAGGACATCTGTTTGCCTTCAAGTCACACGGTAACATCATGTACCGTGTTGCTGCCACCACTGCTGCTAATGCTAGTATTGTTCACCAACATTAGGGTGAAGCTTCTTCAGCAATCCAAGGTCCACGGAAGACCAGTGGCTTCCAGGAATCCTCAGGCCTTCAGCTGCAGGCTGGGAGTGCTGAGGAACTGCCTTGTGGACTGAACGGCTACTGTGTTCTTAGCGTCTCCAGCATGAAGACAGACACTGGAATATCTGGACCATATCATGTAGCTCAGTGTAACTGTAAATCCCATTCCCATTGCAGAGACTCATTTCACTCCGTTCTGCTCCTCTAGGGAACTCTGAATGCCAACCTCAGTGTTCTCTTGTCTTTCATAGATCATTTCATGTGTATGAGTGTCCTTTCTGCACCTATGTATGCGTGCCATCTGAGTACTACCTGACCAAGGTCAGAAAAAGGTGCCTGAACCCCTGGAACTGGGGTTACTGATGGGTGTCAGGGGTCACATCCGAGCCCCCTACACAAGCCACTGGAGCTCATGACTGCCGAGTCCTCTCTCGCCTCAGTGCTTTCTGGAAACAACTGCTGCAGTTTAGTCTCACCAAGGTCCCAGGTGGCAGGACGGGAATGCTGTGAAGGCTTTACGGAAGTGGGACCCACGGACAGGCCTTTATGTCACCGTGGGTAATCTCGAGACGCTATGGGGCGTCAGACTCTTCCTTTCTCTCACGGTTTCCTGGTCTCTCTGGTCATCGCCATCCACAGCCCTCAGCAGAACTGAGCCAACATAAGCAGCACACTTTGTGACCCCTCAGAATCCTGAGCCAAACAGACCTTTCTTATCTCCCAGCTAGCCTGCATCAGGTACTTGTTTCACTACAGTGATGAGAAGGTAAATGAACCATTATTATGCCTTTCAGTATTAAATGGTACTCAAAGTATTATCACGCAAAAGAACAAGAGCACAACCCAGTGAAGCAAGCTTGCACAAACTTTCAGGCATAGAGGTTTGGGTGGCAACATGAGTCAAAGACTACTCACTTGGAGGTGGCAGAAATTCAGGATGACAGTCACAATCATCTCCCTTCAAAGCCTCATCTGCCACCTGCCCATGAAAACAAAGCTAGTGAGATTTTAAAAGCAATACAGCCAAAGTGTCAGCAATCATAAGAAACAGAATTTAAACTAGAGTATGATAGGATTCACTCAAGCACCTAAAATATACAGCTGGTTATGATACCTAAATATATAAACAAGCAAACACCATGGTAACTAAAAAAATGAGAAATCAAGATAAATGACAATTCTTGAATGACAAGATACTTAGTGTGATGCCTGACATATAAATTGTTGAACAATGCCTGTTTACTTCTCCCTCTGAGTGAAATTTTCTGGGCATTTTCTCTATTATCCACTAAATGACTATATGGGATTTGGAAAAAGTCCCTTCTCTGCTTATCATCCACCCAGCCCCCCACCCCCACCCCGCCACCTTTATTCCCTTCCTCAAATCTGGAAGCAAAATATAAATATGAACTCAGCTTTTTGTATACTATGGGTCTGAGACGATGTCAGATACATCCAAAACATCTGATGACAGTCAGGCTAGAGGCCATGTGGTATCAGAAAAACGGGAAAAAAAATTAGACTAAGACACTTGCTGAACACAGCACTGAGTTAAAGGCTGGGATCATGGATGCCAAGGGCAACAGAAATGACAGATACACCTTGGGCAAAGCTGCCCCTAGGAATCTAAACAAACACCAGGTAGTGGGGTTGGCAGAACAGCAAGTAACCAAATACAATGCACACAAGAGAAAAGGAAAGAACAGAAAAAACCTACATCACTGTGAAGACAGAGCAGTGGAGACTCAGCTACTAGACTCTACTGTCACCATTCCCAAGAGATGGTTGAGAGAGAGAAATGGAGGACATACAGACAAAGCTAAGTGGAAAAACAGTATTTGGAAAACGACTTTTAAGACACACAACTGTGATTTCAAGGTAAGTCATCTTTATGCAGCTGTATGAGACGGCCAGGCTGCCTGATGTGGGAGAATCGCTTTCTTGGCCCCGAAACCTCTACCACCGAAGAGCCCTGTGAAGGCGAGGCTGTGCACACCCGAAATAATCACAGGCTTTAGCAGAGCTTACCTTTAGATTCTGATTGCCACCGTTTGCCATTTTGTACTTAGTTTTTCTGAAACCTCTTTCTGTTTCCACAAAGTTAAGTAATGTTCTAAAAGCAGGTGCTGATGAATTTCTAGGAATGTAAGCCCTGGGGGTGACAGACAACAGGGAACCATCATGTCATTCCTACAATGATGCACAACTCAAGTGTTTCTTAAAACAAGCTGCAGGAGCATTGCAGCCCTTTGTCTCGGAAGCCCAGTGCGGCATTCTCAAAAGACTCCACTGCTAAGACTGGCTCTATACATCAACAGTACTTCCAATCTGAAACTGAGCCAAAACTTAACAGTGGTTTAAGACGAGTGGCTCTGGTTCTAACAGGAAAGAACTAAATCTTCCTGTCTTAACAGCTTTGATATCTGTGCATCTAAACAAGCCTTAGAAAAAGCTGATCTATTTCAAGTTTATCATATTTCTTAGTGTTTTTAAATTTCCATACGGTGTATTTGACCATATTCTTTCCTCTCCTCAATCTACCTTAACAGCCAATGATCAAATGTAGAACCCTGGCTACTATTTCTTTACTTATAACCATGCTCGGTCTATCTGCAGCCCTCGAAAGACACTGGGAAGTGACAGGCACAAACTCCATCCCAGGGCTACTTAGCCAGGACCCGTCTTGCCACACAGGTCCCCATTCAAGTCAGACAACTTTTAAAATTTCATTTTATTCTTTTCCCACACTGTATTCTAAAACCCCAGAAAAACAACCGAATAGTGAGCCCCCAAGTCACCAGTTTTAGGACAGGAATACAAATTTGCTTGCACATATGTGTATGCGTGTACAAGCTGCCCGCCCCCCCCCCCCACACACACC